TAATATAATAACCGGATGTCGATCAGGCTACATACAAAAACGATATGCTACCGCAAATGCTATCGAGAATTCTACTTAAAATGCTACCGTCACTAAAGCGTTGAAACATAAGGTAGTAAGATAAGCACAACCCTAAACCTCGGGCAGTCAGTTAGTGAGTCAGTCAGTAATCGTCTGAGCTATTGTGTGTGTCTACTCTGTATTTCGTAAATAAATCGATTGTTCATAGTGGTCATTTCCAAGTGTCTTTTAAAGGACCTAAGGTTCCATAAAATAATTTTAGGGAAGTCTAACATGAATTAATCTAGACTGCTCATGACCGTGAGGAATGCCTGGAATTTTTATTAAATTCCTCTGGTGCTAGGAAAATTTTTCCTCTTACAGGTCCGAGACGGCCTCCTCAGCTTGATTGATGAATGGATAGAACCTTATCGTATGCAGGGTTCTATTGATACAAATTTGGAGATTTTGCATTTTAATCCGTATCCGAAGAGTCTTTTGATAAATATGCCTGTTTCAGCTTGTCCTCGTGTTTAGTTATTATTTTATGTGTGTCCGTTTGCAGAACGACGTTATGGTTGTTTGTCTTGTCTATTATTCTGTATGGTCCGATGTAGTGTGGATCGAATTTGTGTATCCGAGGTTCCTTCTGTACGTAAACGTACTGTCCTATTTTGAATTCCTTGGGCCTTAAGCGTCGATCGTAATATCGTTTGGAGCGTTCCTTCGCTTGATTCAGATTTACTGCTGCTATCTTTCTGATTTCTGTTAATCTTGAGGTTAATTCTCTGACGTAGGAGTCATAGGTTTGCAAGTTTTTGTCGTTGGGGAATGATGATGGTATCCGGGCTGGTCTTCCAAATATTAATTCGTATGGTGTATGTTTTGTTGCTTCGTGTATGGATGTGTTATAGGAGAACACTGCGAACGGGATCAGCAAATCCCAATCCTCGTAAGTATTCAGGTAATGTTTTAGGTACTCCGTAAGGACGATGTTACTTCGTTCCAAGGATTCGTTGGTTTGTGGTCGGTAGCCTGAAGTTGATAATTGTTTGATCTTGAATATTTCGGCCAAGTGCGTCATGACTTAGGAAGCTCGTTCCCTTGTCAGTCAATATGGCACGGGGTGTTCCATAAATTGCGATGAAGTGCCTGGCAAAGGCGTCGGCTATAGTTGTGGCTCTAATATTCGGAATTGCAACTGCTAAACAATATTTCGTTAGATTGTCTTGCATTGTTAAAACGCATCTGTTGCCGCTAGGGGTTTCTGGTAGTGGTAGAATGGTGTCAAGTGCGATTTTATCGAACGGCTCTGCAGGTGTGTCCGTAATTAGCATTGGTTGGCGGGTTTTCAATCTTACGAGTTTTTGTTCCTGGCAGCTTTTGCATTTTTTAATATATTCCTGAATATCGTTTCTCATTCCTGGCCATGAATATCGTGGGAATAAACGTCGGTAAGTTTTCGTTACTCCTTTGTGTCCTCCAATTAGGCTATCGTGCGCCTCTTCAATTAGTTGCGCACGGTCCTTTTCTGGCGGTGTGATAAATAACGAGTCGTTGTCCTTGGGGTGGTCCGTTTCATCCGATGATTCCTCGAAGATAGCGATGGAGTCGTGCGGTCGAAAGGGTTGGCTATTTTCCTCAGGTGGTGTCGGCGACGGCGCTACCTGAGGTGTCAGTGGCGCCTGGTCACTTAACGACGGTCTGAGCGGTGCAGGTAGGCTGATAGCGGGTGCAGGTGTTTCCAATACTGTAATTTCTGTTGGCTTCAATGTGGAATTGGCATTGTCTTCTTCGAATGAGATCAGATCTCCTGCGATGGGTGGTCCGTCGTTCATGGTGTACGATAGAATCGATTTATTCAGGTTTGGCGAGTTGATCGGCGTTGATCGAGCTATTGGAATTAATTCCTCTTCCGGTTGTTCGTCTGGAAGGTCTTTTTCGCGGTTGAGAGAAGGTAGCAATGATTTATTCTGCGGGGAATCACGTGTGTTGCGTTCTCTGATGCTCCTCGGTGGTTTCTTCTTAGTGATGATTGTGTCGCGGAGAGGTGCTTCGTCTGAGCTGCTGCATTCAGCGTACATGGGGTCTGCGCGATTTCTCCTTAACGATTTTACTCGTTGTCCTATTGTTGTACCATCGGCTGATTTAAGTGGTGCGTTTGGCCTGTAGTCCTTATCTTCTCTTGGTATCAGGGGTAGGCAGATTTGTGTCGGGTTGCGTGAGAGTGCGTCTGCATTCTTATTGGTTTTTCCGGCTTTGTGAATTACTTTATAGTCGTATTCCAATAATTTTAGTTTCCATTTAACTAATCTCGAAGTTGGATCCTTTACTGAATGAAGCCAAACCAATGGTCTATGATCCGTGACTAATGTAAACTTCCTTCCGTAAACGTATGGTCGGAAATACTGCACAGCGTAAACCATGGCTAAGCATTCTTTCTCTGTGGC